CTGACTGATCGACTGACTGGCTGTTCCTCCATCTCTCTCCCTCTCCTGGGGCCTGCCTAATCTCTGAGGCACAACAATATGGAAATTAGGCCAATTAATAACCCTATAACGGCCTCTAGATGTTCAAGTGAAAGGAAGAGTCTCACATCTCTCACTTTAAATCAAAAGCTTAGTGAGGAAGGCATGTCAAAAGCTCAGATAGGACAAAAGTTAGGCCCCTTCGATCAAAAAGTTAGCTAAGTCATGATCGCAAAGGGAAAGTTCTCGAAGGAAATTAAAAGGGCTAATCTAGAGAACACATGAATGATAAGAAAGTGAATTAGCCTTACTGCTGATATGCAGAAAGCTTCAGTGGTTTGATCAGAAGATCAAACCAGTCACAAAATTTCCTTATCCTAATGCCTAATCTAGAGCAAGGCCTACCTCTCTTCAATTCTGGGAAGGCTGAGAGAGGTGAGGAAGCTGCAGAAGAAAAGTTTGAAGCTAGCAGAGGTTGGTTTGTGAGGTTAAGGAAAGAAGCCGCCTTCATAACATAAATATGCAGGGTGAAGCAGCAAGTGCTGACATAGAAACCGCAGCCTGTTACCCACAAGATCTAGCTAAGATAATTAATGAAGGCGGCTACACTAAACAACAGATTCTCAACATAGGCAAAATAGCCTTACATTGGAAGAAGACGCCAGCTAGGACATCCATAGCTAGAGAGGAGAAGTCAATGCCTGGCTTCAAAGCTTCAAAGAACAGGCTGTCTATCTTGTTAGAGGCTAACGCAGCTGGTGACGTTAAGTTGAAGCTAATGCTCACTTGCCATTTCGAACAGCCTAGGGCCCTTAACAATTATGCTAAATCTACTCTTGCCTGTGCCCTACAAACGGAACAACAAAGCCTGGATGACAGCACATCTGTTTACAACATTTTAAGCCCACTGTTGAGATCTACTGCTCACAAAAAAAGATTCCTTTCAAAATATTACTGTTAATTGACAATGCACCTGGTTGCCCAAGAGCTCTGATGGAGATGTACAGTGAGATTGATGTTGTTTTCATGCCTGCTAACACAGCATCCATTCTGCAGCCCATGGATCAAGGAGTAATTTAGACTTTCAAGTCTTATTACTGAAGAAATAAACATTTCATAAGGCTGTAGCTGCCACAGCTGGCGATTCCTCTGATGGATCTGCACAAAGTCAATCAAAAACCTTATGGAAAGGATTCACCATTCTAGATGTCATTACGAACATTGAGGATTCATGGGAAGAGGTCAAAATATGAACACTAACAGGAGTTTGGAAGAAGTTGATTCCAACCCTAATGAGGAGTTCAAGACTTCGGTGGAAGAAGTAACTGCAGAGATGTTGGAAATAGCAAGAGAACTAGAATTAGAAGTAGAGCTTGAAGAAGTGACTGAATTGCTGCAATCTTGTGATAAAACTTGATAAGGAGTTGATTCTTATGAATAAGCAAAGAAACTGTTTTATCGAGATGAATCTACTCCTGGTGAGGACACTGTGAAGATTGTTGAAATGACAGCAAAAAATTTAAAATATGACACAAACTTAGTTGATAAAGCAGTGGCAGGGGTTTCAGAGAACTGACTTCAATTTTGAAAGAAGTTCTACTGTGCGTAGAATGCTATAAAACAGCATCACATGCTACAGAGAAATCATTTCTGAAAGGAAGAGTCAGTTGATGTGGCAAACTTCATTGGCTTATTCCAAGAAATTGCCGTAGCCCCGCAACTTTCAGTAATCATCATCCTGATCACCCAGCAACCAACAACATGGAAGCAAGACCCTCCATCAGTAGAAGGATTATGACTTGTTGAAGGTGCAGATGACGGTTAGCATTTTTTAGCAATAAAGTAATTTTTAAGGTGTGTACATTGTCTTTTTTAGACATAATGCTATTGCACACTTAATAGACTAAGTATAGTGTAAAAATTTTTATATGGAGGGGGAAACCAAAAAATTCATGTGATTCACCAGCTGTGGTGGTCTGGAACTGATCCTGCAGTATCTCCAAAAAATCTCGATACCCACTTTGCTGAGAGTTTTTATCAGAAATGGGTGTCGAATTTTGTCAAATGCTTTTTCTGCATCTATTGAGATGATTCTATCATTTTTATCCTTCAATTTAAGGTAGTGTTATCACACTGATTGATTTGTGGATGTTGAACTTTCCTTGCATCCTTGGAACAAATCCCACTTGATCGTGGTGTGTGACCCTTTTAATGTACTGCTGAATTCTGTTTGCTAATATTTTGTTGAGGATTTCTGCATCTATGTTCATAAGGGATATAGGCTTATAATTTTAATTTCTGGTGGTGTCCTTATTTGGTTTTGGTATCAGGGTGATGAATAAATGGAAAGTAATGAGAAAAGTTAAAATAGTGAGATATATGAAGAAGCTATTTGGTTTTGAAACTAATTTGGCCTCACCTTGTTTTCCCAGAAAGGCCTGACGTGGCCTGCTGAGCATGCACTGTACATCTGCTTCAAACATTTACAACATCCCAAGTGAAGAATAGTGGCCTTAAAAATAGGGACTTACGCCTCCCCTCTTATCTGTATTTCTTTAAAGATAAGCATTTCTTCCCAGAAACTAAGGATTAATTACTGATCTACTGTGCTCATCTTGTGACCACTGACCTTCTGCATTAGAAAAATATTTTGACTGTAGTACAAGAGATATTCCTGTCATATTTGATGTATGTCCCTTTTTTCAAGATGGTATAAAACCACACTGTACACCCTGCTTCTTTGGAGTGCTTCCGTCCTTGGTGAAAGTTCTCTTCCGGGCTATAGTTCTCAAAATTGGCTCATAAACTCACTGCGATTTTGATTTATAGATTGATTATCGATAATTTGTGTCGACAAAGGTAATTCTGGCCTCACAAACTGAGTTTGGAAGCATTACCTTCTCTTCTATCTTTTGGAAGAGTTTGAGGACTGGTATTAATTCTTCTTTGAATGCTTGCTAGAATTCTCCAGTAAAGTCATCTGATCCTGGACTTTTGTTTGTAGGGAGGTTTTTAATTACTAACTCAATCTCCTCACTAGTAATTCGTCTGTTTAGATTTTCTATTTCTTCATGACTCAGTCCTGGTAGGTTGCATGTTTCCTGGAATTTATTTCTTCAGGTTGTTCAATCTGTTGGCATACAATAGTCTGTAGCAGTCTCTTATGATCCTTTGTATTTCCATGTCGTCAGTTGTAATGTCTTCTCTTTCATTTCTGATTTTACTTGAGTTTCTCTCTTTTTTTTCTTGGTGAGTCTAGCTAAAGCTTTGTGAATTCTGTTTATCTTTTGAAAGAACCAGCTCTTGGTTTTTGATCTTTTCTATTGTCTTTTTAGTCTCTATTTCATTTACTTCTGCTCTGATCTTTGTAATTTCCTTCCTTCTATTAACTCTGGGCTCTGTTTTTTCTTTCTTTCTAGTTCCTTGAGTTGTAAAGTTACGTTGTTTGAGATTTTTCTTGTTTCTTGAGGTACGCATTTATTGCTATGGACTTCCCTTTTAGATCTGCTTTTGCTGGATCTCATAAATTTTAGTACGTTGCATCTCCATTTTCATTTGTCTCAAGCTGTTTTTTGATTTCTCTTTTGATTTTTTTCATTGACCTTTGGTTGTTTGGTAGCATGTTCTTTAATCTCCAAATCTGTGTGAATTTTCCAGTTTTCTTCTTTCTAATTGATTTCTTGTTTCATATCACTGTGGTCAGAAAAGATGCTTGATATGATTCAAATCTTCTTAAATTTGTTAAGACTTATGTTGTGACCTCACATATGACCTACCCTGGAAAATGTTCCATGTGCGCTCGAGAAGAATGTGTGTTCTGTTGCTTTTGAATGGAATGTTCTGCAAATATCTGTTAAATTCATCTGGCCTATTGTATCATTTAAGGTTGATGTTTTCTTACTGTTGCTCTGTCTGGATGATCTATCCATTGATTTATGTGGGGTATTAGAGTCCCCTACTATTACTATATTGCTGTCTATTTCTCCCTTCAGATGTATTAACATGTGCTTTATATATTTAGGTGCTCCTTTGTTGAGTGCATAAATATTTACAACTGTTATATCCTCTTGTTGGATTGATCCCTTTATCATTATGTAATGCCCTTCTTTGCCTCTTATTATAGTCTATGTTCTAAAGTCTATTTTGTCTAAGTATAGCTACCTCAGCTTTCTTTTGGTTTTCATTTGCAAGGAATATTTTTTTCCATCCATCACTTTCAGCTTGTGTATGTCCTTACATCTGAAGTGAGTCTCTAGTAGCCAGCATATAGATGGGTTTTGCTTTTTTATCCATTCTGCTACTCTATCTTTTGACTGGAGAATTTAGTTCACTTACATTTAAAGTAATTATTGATAGGTATGTACTTATTATCATTTTGTCAATTGTATTCTGGCTGTTTTGTAGTTCCTCTGTTCCTTTCTTCTTCTATTGCTCTCCTCCTTTGTGGTTTTGATGGCTTTATTTATTGGTATTGCTTTGATTCCTTTCTCAGTATCTTTTGTGTGTCTCCTATAGGTTATTGCTTGGTGATTGCCATGAGGCAAAGTCTGTTTTAAGTTGACAACTTACGTTTGAATGCATTCTGAAGGTCTACATTTTTACTACCCCCCGACGCTTTACGTTGTTGATGTCACATTTTACATCTTTTTATCTTGTGTATCCCTTAACTAATTATTGTAGTAACAGTTACTTTTACTACTTTTTTCTTTTAATCTTCATAAAAGCTTTACAAGTAATTGATCTGATACTCTACTAAATACCTTTACCAGTGAAGTGAGATTTATAGTCTAATGTTTTCTTGTTGCTAATTATGGCCCTTCTTTTCAGCTTAAAGAAGTCCCTTTAACGTTTCTTGTAAGGTCTGGTGATGAACTCCTTTAGATTTCGCTTGTCTGGGAAATTCTTTCTCTCTCTTTCAATTCTGAATGTTAACTTTGCTGGGTAAAGTATTTTTGGTTGGAATTTTTTTCATTTAGCACTTTGAATATATATTAAGTCAGTTTTCTGCCTCCATTCTACAAGATCAGAGTAAGACAGTTCATCACTCTCATTATTTTTTATGTCATTTGATCTTTTCAAAATCTTTATAAGGAAAGTATTGTTATGTATTTTAAATTTAAGAAAACTAAGGCTTAGTGAGGTTAAATAATTTATGCAAGGTTATATTGCTAACATAAACTAGAATTGAAGAAAAATTCCAAAACTCGTACTCTATCTAACTATGCCATGTTGCCTCTGTAATGCTTTGGTTCACCAATTTTCTAAATAAACAGGAGTTAGTCAGAAATCTTTTTGCCCATTTTGAGGCAAAAGTTTAAGTTAAATGTATTGCTCTACTTGTACAATACAGCAAATACAGAATGGTTACAATAATGTTTCTTTGATAACTCTAGCTCTTGCATGTGGTTTGAGTGCTAGTAAGTGAATACTCAACGTCTGCTCTAGGTATAGACATAGAAAGTACAGGGAGAGTAGGCTGAACTTCTACCTGCAGGAGAGTATCTCCCTAATGTTCTTTCTTTCCTTTTTCTTCTTCTTTTTAAAAATAACTACACTAATATGATTTCACTTAAACCAAAATTATGGAAAATTAATTACTAGTTATTTGAGAACACTAGTAGAACTCCAGCAGAATTTCAGACTAGCAGAAACCACTTAGAGAAATAAATGTCTCATTTTTACAGAGCATGAAAGTGACACCTAAGGAACTGACTGACACATACAAGGTAACAAAAATATAGATTAGGTTATACTTTTTACGATTATCTTTCAAAAATCAAAAGATGTTACTGCTGAGCTAGTGAGAGAGCATGAAAGAGCTACCATAGCATTACATGAAAATTGGGAAACTTGATGTTAAAAAATACACATTTTTGGTAACTTCCTTTCAATGATAGCAAAAAAATCATTCTGGAATTATGAATGGTTACAATTCATACAGCCTACTTACAATTCAGTTAGTATTCATAGTATTTACTTCTAAGAGGAGAAACAGATGGCTAAAAGGAGAAACAGACTCCTTTTTTATTTTTTGCTGAAGAAGATTAGCCCTGAGCTAACATCTGTGCCAATCTTCCTCCACTTTATATGTGGGCCACCGCCACAGCTTGGTTGATGAGTGGTGTACTTCCACGCCTGGGATCCAAAAGTGGGATACTGAAGTGGAGTGTGCCGAACTTAACCTCCACGCTACAGAGCTGGCCCCTGAAGACAGACTCTTTTTCACTGTATAGGTATCTTTGGAATTTTGTAGTACATGGCACATATGACGTAAAAATAATAAATTCTTGAAGAAAAATGTTTTCAAAACTACAAAAGTAGTATTAAAAAATTAGTTGGAGAAGAAGAACCACATCTTTTATACTTTCTCAATGTTTTCTAACTGCATTTCAGATGCTGGCAGACACTTTAAAAATAACGTATCCTGTACCAGATAAAACTCAATTTTCGGGCAGTGGAAAACTGAATTTCTATGCTTCAGGATCCTTAGGTCTACAGTGTTAAAATTTGTAGAACGTGTAATCCATGTACTTACGCTTCATTCTGCCTGTGCTGCTGTTCTTGAAGACAAGCTAGTTCCATCATATGTTTAATTTGTGCTTTCAAATCTTTGTTCTGGAGGTGCAAATGGTGACTTTGAAGATCTCCATTGAGTTCCTGGGGAACACAATGCAAACTATACTTCAGATTCTTTTAAGAATGTTAAAATCAAATCAATTTTAATAAAACATTTTACATTGGTGCCAATAGGTTTAATGTTTTTACATGTGAATGATATGTTTAGGAATAATTTGAAAAATAACATTCTGGTATAGGTGGTTTATAACTTATAAGCAAGATAAGATTCAAGTTTCCTCAGAAGCTGAATGTCAGAAACTCAGACAAATTTTATTATGATGACAGTTTCTTGGTCTATCCAACTTGTTCCTAAGGCTGTGAAAACACATGAATATGGCCAGTTTTTGCTTAAATGTCACTTCTTCAGGGAGGCATTCCCTCAGCATTATATTTAAAGATGGATATTCTCTACCCCCAATCATTTCCATCCTAGCATTGATCAGAAACAACTTCATTTATTTACTCATTTATTTACAGTCTTTCTGTCTGTACTAGAAGGTTAGGTTCACCACCAGGACAGGTACCGTATCACGCCAGTTCAGTAGTATAGCCCAAGTGTTCAGTGTCTGGAGTTCCAAAGAAATAAAAATTTCTTGCCTTCATCTAATCTTGGTATAAGCTTTACCCTAGAGCAAAAGTGTAAAAAAGTCTTCTATGGCTCCCATTTCCCTAAGTCTCATATGCACAGGTCCAAGTGTTCTCTAATCTACCACCTAAAATTACTTATTTTTCCTTAAATGTCCTAACCTTAAGTATGGAAAACGTCTGCTAAGTGGTTACACTACACTATGAATGGTAGTAATCCAACAGCATTCTCAGAATCCTTAATTGGGAAAATTTAAGTCAGTACAACGAAAGGGAGTGAAATTTTTTTGAACATTGTGAGGGGCTAAGACAATCCCATAAGTAGGGAAGCTGTGCCTGGAAATGTCCTCCTGGGGACAATTCTCATAATCTACTTTTGCTTTTCCATATTCCTTCCAAACCTGCAGACCACTGATTCTCCAAAAGGTTAAGCTTGTCTCTTTTTCTTTTTTTTTAAAAAAATACTTCCTATGCCAATGGTAGGAATTATGAAAGGGAAACAATGTCATTCTATGTTCTGAGGTATTTTAACACTCGGGGTTATTGATTTACATGATTCATGATGCCATTTCAAGGAATCTAGCATGTATTCTAGAGAAAACTCTCTTTAGCAAGTCAGGATGGTATGGTTAGAGCAGTGGTCTGTGAGTCAGGTGATTTTAGAGATGGTCTCAGCCATGACACAAATGCCACTGCAAGCTAAAAATATGGTTTTTATGGAGATCAATTTACTTGACTAAAATTTAAGTGCTTGACTAGATGATCTCTTTAGTCTTTTCCAGTTAGGAAATCCAACAATCCTAACAGTATGAACATACTTGCCAAATAGTTCATCTTTCCTCTCTCAAAAAAAAATTCCTTCATTATATACTTCCTCTGATAACCCTGTTCTAATTCCTTTATTTTCTTAAATCACTCTTATTTTAAAAAGACAAACCTTAATTGTCTAATTATATTAGCCAGTAATGGACCTTGCCTAAGCTTGTTATATTTGGAAAACCAAGTTTACAATTTGAGTCTTCTCGTTTTGATACATTATTGACTAAATCTGATTAGAAGAGCATGGCCTATTCTGAGAACCATAAGTAGGTTAGCAATGGTTGAAGTGAAGAATAAATGAGAGGTGATACATAAAACTTGGGAAGTATTCAGGTGCCACGCTAGGCCTGGGAAATCATAATACAGAGTTTATATTAGGGAGAACGCACTAAAGAGTAATACGATCGGTTACCTTTCAGAAAGTTCATATTGGTTGCAGTGGAGAGAATGACTGTGGTGGAAGATGAATGGAAGAAAGATCAAATATAGCAGTCCAACAATGGGGGGATGGAAATCAGAATTAGGGTGATGGCAGTGAGAGAAAGAGAGAAGTGGGTAGATTTGAGATGTTACGAGGGAGATAATGCAGGAGGGTACAGAAAAAAGAGCACCAATTTGCAAATCACATTACTGGGTCTGTGCCAAGAGTTGTATGACTGTGGATAAGCCCTTTTACAAAGTTATGTGTCACTTTGCCAATGTAGGAAATAATGGCTTACAAATAAATAATTATTTCAGTCATGAAAATATGCACAGAAAAAAGAATGATGAATGAGATTAGGGTGGTGGGAATGGAAACACAGGTTTCATTTTAATTTTTCAAATTATTTACAATAAAATGCACTAAAAAACAATGACTTAAAAATCAATTCTAGGTTGACATTCAGGCGTGGAAAACTGCTTATGAGAGTTACAGAAGACCAATTACTAGAAAAATTAGATTCGATCATGTTGAAAACATTTAAATTTACTAAAAATAACCCAAACAACATTAACTTTATAAAGCAAATTAGCAATAATAATAATGCTACTACTTAAAAGAATACCATAACATTTTTAAAATTGAGAATTTATGATAAATATGAGAAAGCAAAGGCAAACTAGTAAACTTCTACAATTGAGTTTTTTACCTCTTTAATACAAAATAAGTTCTTAAATATTTCTCTAGCTGAGGTTAGGCTATAAATTAGAATATTGACTACAAAGACAAACACACTAGATTATAATATAAGTATAATGTAAATTAAGTAAGGCTATTGAGAGGTGAAGGTACTCTAGAAATAACATTTTAAAACTACATATACATGTATTAAAATTTTTTTTAATGAATGTGCTAATGCCACTTGAACTGTAACCTAAAAATGGTTAAAATGGTAAATTTTATGTTATATCTTACCACACACAGAAAAATTTTTTAGACCCTTCAAGAGAAAGCTTTTGCTCACTAGATGGGCTAAATATTCTACTAGAACATCATGGCCATAAGTAACAGTAACAAAGAAAATGAAAGAATGTTTAGCAGTTATTTTAAAATAAGGTCAAAAATTTAACCAAAATACTTGTCATTTTATGTCATTTAGACAATGATCTGAGAACAAGACTACTTTAGACATACATGGTCTCTAGCAAGTAACAAGTGAAACAAACCCAAAACTGCTATAAATGTTGCACATCTGCCACCTTTTCAAGAGAATAAGCTCTTGTGCACTGAACGAGAAGCACCCATTTGGCCTGGGCTATCAGTGTTTTCTCTGAAAACCTGTCATCAGAACACGGCCGAGCGCCCTGACAGCTGCTCTGCTGGAGGTGCTGCATTCTGTGGTGAGCCGCTACAGCTGTAGACGCCCCAGATCTGGCGTGGGATTTCCGAAGTTATCTTTCCTGAGTCCAGATAATCTCTATTCTAGTGTATTGATTAATCATCGTCTTTTGTTGCTTACTCCTTTTAAGTCATGTAAATATGTCCATTATACCATCTTAAGACGAATACAGCATTTTAAATAAAAGTGCTTTAGTTTTATTTTAGGT